GTGGAGTGTTATGCGGTTTCTAGGGTGTTCTGGATGACTACTAGGTGGTTGCTAGTGTGTTCTGAATGGTTGCAAGGTGGTAGTTATGTGGTTGCTTCTGGCTGGTTGCTATGTGGTTGCTGTGCAATTGTAAGGGTGTTTTGGGGGATTGTTAGGTGGTTGCCATGTAGTTGCTAGGGTTTTCCGAGTAGCTGCTGTGCAAGTGTTTGGGTGATTGCTGAAAAGTTGCTATGAAGTTGCTACTAGGGTGTTCCAGGTGGTTGCAAGGGTGTTGCTATGCAGTTTCCAGGGTGTTCTGGATGGTTACTAGGTGGTTGCTAGTGTGTTCTGAATGGTTGCAAGATGGTAGCCATGCGGTTGCTTCTGGCTGGTTGCTATGTGGTTGCTGTGCGATTGTAAGGGTGTTTTGGGGGATTGTTAGGTGGTTGCCATGTAGTTGCTAGGGTTTTTCGAGTAGCTGCTATGCAAGTGTTCGGGTGATTGCTGAAAAGTTGCAATGAAGTTGCCACTAGGGTGTTCCAGGTGGTTGCTAGGGTGTTGCTATGCAGTTTCTAGGGTGTTCTGGATGGTTGCTAAGGTGTTCTGGGTGATTGTTAGGTAGTTTCTTTGTGATTTCTAGGGTGTTATGGGTGGTTGCTAGATAGAGAGACACAAAGAAAGACAATTGCTTTAATAACAAAGTGTAAATATTGGTATTTTTAAAAACTAACAGCCGGTGAAAGTGTGAGTTTTGTCCCATGTTAAGAATCAGAGAGCTGACTCTGGCATTCAACAATTCTCTCAAAACCATACATCAAAAACAAGTGTGTGTGTGTGTGTGTGTGCAGTAGCATCACCAGGCATGATGTGAACAGTGAAAAGGGTCCAAATGTTAATTAAGAATGACTGTGAGTGAGCAGTGATAGAGATGCTTCATCTTTCTGCCAGACATGAATGAGTCGAGCCAGTTCTCACTCGCACTGATAAGACACCAGAATAGAGAGACAATTCAAAGTAATGAGCTCTTTCTGACAGCCAGAGAAACTTCTCTTCATTTTCTTTGGTGCTGAGAAGACGAACGAGAGATAATTATGACAAGAAGAGCACTTCAAATTAAGTGTAATAGCACACCGGCTAAAACGCGGAGCGTTGCAGCGGAACGCCGTCGCGTCTGCCGTCAATCCTGATAATTGACATAATGTTTTAAAAACGTTTCTTGCGTGGATTGGAAATTACAGACAGATTTACAGATTGACCGGTTGAGTTAATTGAGTTGGATTTTCTCCCGTCGATCACCTGATTCATGTGCAGCTTTGGTCAGTCCGTCTTCATCTGCACCACAGGAAACAGTCGTGTTTGTTTACAAGACACTGATACAAGATACACATAATCACTAGCAACTAGGGTTGCTAGGCAGTTGCTAGGGTGTTCTGGATGGTTGCTATAGGGTGTTATGGGTGATTGCAAGGATTTAGTGAAAGATTTTAACATGTAGCACTGGGGCCGTGATGAAATTACACTAGTGCAGTAAATTAAAATGATTTCTATTAAAATCAGACTTTTAGGCTCACAGCAGTGTGTACTATTATAAATGATCTTCATTCATTTTAAGCAGCCTATTGAAATTATAATCAGTTGAAATTTAACAAATTAAATTGATTGAAATTTAACAAAAGATTATGCATGATCATACTGTATATAATGATTAATATCAGTGTCATCTTTAGTCGTCGCAGATATCAGGAAACATCAAGCGTGTGCTGAAGTGTGCTTGAGGTGTCATCTGGTCGTGGTCAGGAGGTTTTGGGAGGAATCGGGCGGGATCTAGTAAGCATTTTCCACCCTCAGTGCTTGGTGAAGCGTCTCTGTGCATTTGTGTTTAATGACGCAGAGCTGCTGGAAGCTGAGCTCGTGGCTGTCATTGATTCACACGCTGCGCATGTTTATTACAGAGCCTCAGGATGAGCGTGTTTGCATGTGTGATTGCTTGTGTGTGGCTGTTTTGTCCTCAGCAATTGGCTTGTGTTAGCCTATAACATTGGCAAAAAAACAAAAACAATTATTATTATAATTATTATTATTAATATTATTATTATTACTATTATAATGTATTTTATTAAGTATTACTATTATAATGTATTAATATGTATTGTTTATAATAATAATAATAATAATAATAATAATTGAATTTATTGCATTCTTCTGGGAATGCAGACATTATTAAAAACTCAGATGTGTCTGTTAACTTATAGATACTACTTAGAAAATACAGATTGTTTCAAATTTAAAACAGATATGAAATATCATGCATAATGTGGGTGGATTGCACCACATCTTTGACTTGTTTAAAACTAATCAGCGTGTTAAAGACATATCTATAAAATGGCCGAGGCCAAAAATAGGAAGAAAAATTAATAATCAGGTTTGATTTGCTTTTTTATAAGTATAGAAGCCCTCTGGGCATGACTTATTAAAGTTTTAATAGAGAATTAACTCATGCAGCAGGTGATGCTGAACTTTTAATTGCTCATCAAAGAATTAAGAGTTTCTAGGTGTAGAGTTTGTGAAATTAATAAACATAATATTAATAATCAAAAACTGAGCGTATTGAGTTACAGTTTGGCTGTTCACGGACCATTGTCGTACCGTTTGGTGAATCAGTTTGTCATGGCTGTTATTGTGGGATCATCGATGTCTCTAAATGGTGTGTTAAACCGACACCAGGCTGTGGTTGGCAGGTTTGCATGTCGGTCAGGTGTCTCTTCCTCTCTGAATGGGCAGTTCTTTGCTAATAGACCGCGGGAGACTCTCTTACCAGAGAAGTTAGCACTAGCGCTGCTGGCCGTACGCGGTTAGTTCATGAAAATGACAGGAAATGTCATTTTCTGTAATGTAAACAATTATAGATTGGAGTCGATGTTCTACCCGCACAAACACAAAACCATCACATCACCCTACAGCACAAGAACCTGTGTGTGTGTGTGTGTGTGTGTGTGTGTGTGTCTGTGTGTGTGTGTGTGTGTTTGTGTGTGTGTGTGTGTGTGTGTGTGTGTGTGTGTGTGT